GAAGAGACCTGTATGCATTCTGCCTTCTATTACATTACATTTTTTTTTGGCTTGGCTTGGCTTCATTCCTGGAGGAGTGTTGTTCCCCCCCCCATATAAATCCGCCTATTGATTTCCTAAAAGGAAAACAAATCTAAAGAATTGCAGAAACGCACACCAAACCTGCCTCTGGGAGGGAAGTAGCCAGGTGAAAACGCACTCAGTTTCCATGGACAACCCGTCCATTATCACCCAGGTGACTAACCCCAAAGAGGAAGAAATCCTGTCTTGCTCTCAGGATAAAGGTGAGAAAACTCTAATGCTTGAATGATAACTGTTGTAATGGTCAGCTGTAGATCCTATAATATTTCTTTCAACAGGGTACCTGTTTGTTTCTTGTAGGCTGGATTGGCTGGATTGTGTAACACTGTAAACCTCTTCTCATTACAGTTCTGCTGAACTTGAATCCAGCAGTAAATGAAAACATGCAAAGTGCCTCTGTTTGCTAGCTAGATCTTGGGCTCCATCCAAGCCTGGGAAGGCAGACCTTTATTGAACTTACTAGGCTGGTTTTTGAAATCTTGGCATTTGGCACTGAGGAATCTTGAGGTTTTTGAAAGGAGAGATTGGTGTAAACATTCTTTCAAAATGGGGATTAAGACGATTGATCTGGAGACATTTTGTTTAAGATACTTGTGTTGAATCCATCACTGAGAAACAGTGGATACTATCCTCAAGAAATGGCAAGGCAACACTTACTGTAGATATGTACGTTTGGTTGTAAAGTTTCTACCCCAAAATAGACATAACATGCCTCAGAGACATTTCTCCACATCAGAAACCAGGACAGTTGTTCTTATTTTTCCTTCAGTAAAAGGAAGGCTTGAACCATGACAAAGGTTGACAGATCAAAATGTCAGAATTAAGATACATCTTAAACCTGTGAGTTGTGAAAGTAGTCACTGATTGTGCTTTAGGGATGTGTGATATTTTGAAATAATGGACAGTTCATAGAAAGGGACATTAAATAAATCTGGTGATGGAAATGTTGCTGAAAGAGTAAAGATTACAATCTTCCTAGTGGTTGTAGATTTATTTTGGCCTGGGTAAAGCATGGTGCGTGTGTTGTTGAAGCTGTCTGTTCTGCCACAGTGTACCTTGTCTGCTCCAGTTCTCTGCTTTCTTGACTTGGGATCATGTGGGTCAATGTACTGTATTCTGGACAGTGTTGACTGATATATGTGTTACTCTGGAATGCACAATTGAGTTTGCTATTTTTACTGGCCTCTGCTCTTTAATTTTGTGATTTTTCTTCTTCTGTTTTAGTATTCATGTTAATAACATGAATGATAAATACAATCAAAACAATAATTTCAAAATAAATAGAATTATTGTTCAGAAACAGATCTAAGGCTCCCTGTTTCCTAGCAAGCCTTAATTTGAAATGTGTTTTTCCCCCCTTGTTGGCTTCAGTGTTGTCCTCTTCCCTCCAAAGGAAGGAAAGGGAGGGAGATCTTTTGGTGATGCGAACTGCTGTTTGCTCTTACTCAGGCTCTTATAATGTTAGGGAGTCCACAGTATGGAAAGTTATAAGTCTCTGTCTTAATGGATGATTTTTTAAAAATAAAATATGAAACTACGCAGGGTTTTTCTTGTTTGGACATAAAACTTAGAGACTATAATTACTGAAAGTGGAAGAGGACAGTGTGAGTGCCCAGAAACATCTCAGAATTTAGTGGCTATTTTTGTATTAGAGTGCCTTCTGTGAAATAGAAAAAAAAATTACGTGTATGAAGCCCACGTGATCTAGGAATTGGGGCAGATATTATGCGTCTCATTTCTCTTTAACCATGGCTAAAAGGGGGCAGACCCCATGACTGCAAACCTGTGTCCACCTCTACACAGACAGTTACTTGTTAACCAGCCTGTAACATATTTAATGCCAATGCAATTTCCTCTTAAACTGAGCTTGAACTTAATCAGATAATGAGTGTTAACTATGGTGAAGGATGGAAGGGAAAGCATAAATGAGTAGAGGGGACTATTGGTGGGAATTAAGTGAACCTGTTGATCGCTTCTGGTCTCTTCTCTATAGTTTAAGCTTCCAGAGGGACTGCACTGGTTCTAGGCCAGCGCTGGGAATAATATAACCACTAAGGCTGCATCCACATGGCAGAAATATTCTGGTTTGACACTGCTTTAGCTGCCATGGCTCAATGCTAGCGAATTTTGGGAATCATTATTCCTAGAATTCCCTAGCACTTGAGCCATGGCAGCTAAAGCAGTGTC